GCTGGGCTGGCAGGCTTGGAGCTGGCAGAGGCACTGTGGCCAGGGTCTACCCCTTTAATGGCTCCGGGGCTGGAAGAGAAGAGAGTAAGTTTTCCTGGTTGTGCCCAGAGTGGCCACCAGGGCTCCCTGGGAAGGGCTGGAGGCCCCCTATTTCAAATTAAATGTCTACACAGTATTTAATTCGAAATAGCTATTTCGAATTTGGCATTACTTCTTGTAGAATGAGGTTTACCAAATTCAAATAAAGCGCTCGGCTATTTCAAATTAATTTCGAAATAGCGGTTTGCCTGTATAGACGCTGTTAAAGTTAATTCGAAATAACAGCTGTTATTTCAAATTAACTTTGCAGTGTAGACATATCCACTGAATGGAACAGAACTACTGGTTAGAACATAAGAACGGTCATACTGGGTCAGACCAAAGGTCCACCTCGCCCAGTATCCTGTCTCCCAACAATGGCCAGTGTCAGATACCTCAGAGGGAGTGAACACAACAGCTAATCATCACATGATCTCTCTCTTGTCATCCATTTCCAGACAAACAGAGGCTAAGGACACCATTCCTACCCATCCTGGCTAACAGCTATTGATGGAATCTAACCTCCTTGAATTTATCTAGCTCTTTTTGAACTCTGTTAAAGTCCTAGTCTTCACAACATCCTCTGTCAAGGAGTTCCAATGCACTGCATGAAGAAAAACTTCCTTTTGTTTGTTTTAAACCTGCTACCTATTCATTTAATTTGGCAATCCCTAGTTCTTATATTATAGGAACAAGTAAATAACTTATCCTTATTAACTTTTTCCACACCAGTCATAATTTTTTGGACCTCTATCACATCCCCCCTTAGTCTCCTCTTTTCTAAGATGAAAAGTCCAAGTCTTTTTAATCTCTCTTCATGTGGGACCTGTTCCAAACCCCTAATCATTTCTGTTGACCTTCTTTGAAACTTTTCCAATGCCAATATATTTTTTGGGCGGATAAGACGACCATATCTGTATGCAGTATTCAAGATGATGTGGGTGTACCATATAGAGGCAATAAGATATTTTTTGTCTTATTCTCGATCCCTTTTTTAATGATTCCTAACATTCTGTTTGCTTTTTTGACTGTCACTCCACACTGAGTGGATGTTTTCAGAGAACTATCCACAATGACTCCAAGATCTCTCTCTTGAGTAGTTGTAGCTAAATTAGTCCCCCTCATATTGTATATATAGGTTCTAATGCTTCTCTCAATAGCAAGATGAAAATCACCCCTTTAGCAATAGTAGTCATCACATCAAGTTACAGGGACTCATTAGCATGACACCATGCAAGGGGAGGGGGAGGTGTATTGCTTCTGGGCAGAGGAACTCAATAACATTGGCAGTGTTGGAAAGAAATCTTCCTTCAGTTCCTGGGTTGGAATTGTGATCTGTGGTAACTCTCCCGTCCATAATCACAGCTACCCCTCCTTCCTCCATAGTCAGCTAGGCAGAGTGGGAGCAGTGTGCAATTATGTGATGCATAGTGATTATAAGCCATCCCCCCTCTCCCCCGCCAGCCTCCATGCAGCAGGACAACTGTGATTCCATTGCATCCGAAGACTTGTGATCTCAGCCTTAAACTGATATACAGCTGTCAGGACTAGTAGATTCCCAGGCCTGATTTTTCTCTCATTCTTCATATATACCAGAGTAACGCTAGCAAAGGCAATGGAGTCACACTGGTGTAAAACGGATCAGAACTGGGCCCCTGGAATACAGTTTTCCTTCTGGAACAATAAAGAGCATACAGTCACGTATTGCTGCTACTCGGAAACAGATAATTTAGTATTCAGGGACAGTTTACTCCTGCAGATATTTTATTAACCATACATCTCTATCCAAAAATTAATCTAACCCACAGTATTTTGTTAAATTACTCCTTTAAATTCCTTCTTCCATAATTTGCAAAAGTAATTGCAGCCTCATTTTCAATCATGGAACAGTAAATCTCGATTTTGGATGGAGGCAGCTGGTTTATAAGTCCCTAGATGTGCATATCTTGACTGAGCTCAGCTGAAATCATTTTGAAATCACATCAACAGTTTATCCAGAAAATAAGATGTTGAGAGAATTAAAATGAACTCCTCCACTTTTTAATCCTTACCTCCTTCCAGTAGCTTGCCTTTGTAGACACAAAGGTTTTCTCCCCCACAATGCTGCTGATAGACTTTGATTTCATCTCTGTAATCGGTGTCATCATGAGACAAGTGCACACTTTTTCCTAGGTAGATCATTGTAACAGATGCATTGCTGTGTAATGAGGGTTTATGGAATTTTCCTGAATCCTACAACAGAAGCACAATAAATACATTCAGCAACCAGACTCCTACCTGGGGGCGAACAAAGGGGCAATGCTGGTGAGACATTTTTTAAGTATTCATTCACCTCTGTCGCTCACTGAATTTAACCTTCCTGAACTGCAAATAGATCAAAATGTTGCAACAAATCCATGGTCCTGAGTCAGAGCCTATGTAACACTCCAGTGGTGCAAAGGGGCCATAAAGCTGCCCTAATGATTCAGGTGAGGATTGCCTGGTATGAGACATTGGGAATATCAGGAATGTACCTGAGAGAAGGGAACACAGCCAGAGCACTGCTGGACTCCAGCAGTCCCCAGATGCTGTAACAGACTGTTAAGTCAATCTAGCTGGAGTTAGTTAAAAAAGCACTGTGGCGGATCTAACTCATACTACGGCAACTCTGGGATCAGGGATGTCAAAGGTGGCATGCAGCTAGGTTTGCCCATCGCCTAGGATCCTGCAGTGAGCAAAGCTCCACCAGATCCAAGAATCAGTCCCTGTGTCTTTACCAGACATACCTTGTCCAGATGGATAAATTATATTTTCTTCTTTGAGCTGGCAAATGCTTATCCAAATTGGAAATTCCCAAACCTGCCTGTGGGATCCAAAACCCAAATCAGCTTTCCTCCCAGCTGCAGAATCCTTCTTTTAAATCCTTCCCGTATGTCAGAGGCTAACTTCAAGCATGTAAAAACAACATTCAGCCCACATATTAGCAACTTCTTATGGAGGTTGATGGTCATTCTGCCTGAGAAAGGAATGAGTCCTTTACGCTGGGGGCATGCACCATAAAAGATAGATTTTCAATTTTGCTGTGGCACTGATGTCAAATACATTGTTTACTTGAATGGATATGTGGGATACATGGATATATCCAGAGCAGATTATTCTCCCAACACTCCAACTTCTTTCTGTGAATACGTCTGCCTCCCAAACAGCTTGTTATGCTTGATTATCTTTAATACAGTGTTTCTTAAAGTGTGTTCCGCGGCACACTGGTGTGCCGCAAGGCAGTTGGAGGTGTGCCACAGAGAACAGAGTTCAAAATGGCCACCCTTTTAAAGGCAATGCCTGAACAGAGTTCAAAAGGGCAATGCCTGCTCTCCTGATTAAAGAGTAAACTTTTGGGGGGCTTGGGGTTTTTGTTTTTTTGTTTTTTTGCTTAACTTCTTTTTCCCATCCTTTTTTGTTTGTTTTACTCAACAACTTTTCCCTGTCTTTTTTTTCCTCAACAAATTTTTCCCTGGGTTTTTTTTTTTTTTTTTTGGTCAATAACTTTTCCCTTGGAAAGGGCCACCCTTAAAGGGGCAAGCCTCCTTTTCTTTTTCTTTTGTTTTTGCTCAACAAACAAAGCCTTGGCGTTCCCCATAAATAAAATTATTGTTTGGTGTTCCTCGGTCTTAAAAAGTTTAAGAAACAGTGCTTTAACAAATGATTTTAGGTTCATGTCTGTGCGTGTATGTGTAAAACCACTCTCTTCAGTGGAAATGCTTTATGGATGAATCATTGGAAAGAGTTCACAAAACAAAATAATCAAAAGTTGGGTTTTTAGAAGTCCACAGAGCTTAAACTATGGGGAAGAGGCAAAAACAGGAAAGGTCTAGCTGCTTCTTCTAGTATTTGAGTTGATTCACTTCCAAGTGATGATTTCAGTCCTGCTCAGTTGAATTAGTACACGGTCTGGTTATTAATTAGAATACTTGACTAAATTAATCTGGCCATGGAAAGTAATCCCAGGCTGCTGCACTCAACAGTAGACAATACAATATCTCAGCACAGATTTTAAGCCAAGATTGTGCCTTTAAAGCATACTTCAAAATATAGACCCCTGACGAAGCACTGAGGGTGCTTAGCCTGGGGTGTATGCTGTATGTGGCCCCTAGCACTGATCTTGATCTGCTCATCTTGCTCCTCTCTGGTCCCTTGGGGAGATTGGCACTACTTTCACTGCTAGCCAGATTCAGCCTACCTTGAACCTCTTCACTGTCCCCTCACATCCTTAAGACAGTATGTCTGGTAAAAGTATCTCTGGAGCAAGACAAAGATATCAGGAGGGAAGAGGTAGGAGGAAAAGAGATCTCATACCTTTGTTAGCAGCTGCTCTAAGCCATCTGGAGCAGTGGTTGGGCGAAAGCGTCTCCCTCTGGATGTCCCGTGTCTAACTCCCTTTAGGTTCTTATCTCCTTTTTGGGGTGGAGGCGGCACTGGTATCACATAATTGTTAATGATGGGTAGTTGGTATGGGGATAGTCCAGCCAAATAATCCACTGAGTTCATAAGCCTCAGCATGCTTTTATCTCCCTGCAATTACATTTAAAAAGTCAAAGCCAAATTCACACAAACAGTGAGCCTGCTCAGCACAGTACATACTAGATCAGTGTTTCTTAAACACTGTCAGAGGTGTGCTGTGGAGAACAAAAGAGTTCAAAATGGATACCCTTAAAGGGGTGGGCGACTCCCCCCTGCTTTTTTTTTTCTGCCCAATAACTTTCCCCCGGCCCTTTTTTTTTTTTTTTTGGTCAACAAAAAGTCCTTGGTGTTCCTCATAAAAAAATTATTTGTTGGTGTTCCTCAGCCTTAAAAAGTTTAAGAAACACTGTACTAGATAGACATGGCTTGATTATTCCTTCCATTTTACATTCATGTTTTCAAAAAGACCCTCTAAATCAGTGGCCACAGCTTTGCTTGTGAAATGTGTGTGTGTGTGTGTGTGTGTGTGCGTGCGTGCGTGCGTGCGCACGCAAAGCCCTGAACTTACTGACTGTGCACATGCCAAACTGGGAGCACAACTTGAGGACCTGGGTACAGGCCTCTTGAATATCTGCCCCAAAAGTCTAGTAAACTGATTATAATTATTTTACATTTTGTATTACTTATGATCCTGGCAGACTCTTGATTGCAGCCAGCCAGAATAGTGAATGAATTATCACTGTTTTTGCAGGACTAATTTCCTTTCATTTGTGGGGCAGAAACTGAGGTACCCAGAAATTATTAAATTATTTGGCACAAAATTACCGCTCAGTGCCTTTCAAAAGACTGTCCCATTGATAGCAGAGCTTTGCTCAACCTCCAGGATGAAATTCATGCAAGGGCACAGGAACCGAAGGCCCTGAGGCAGGAGGCAGGTGTGCAAAAGAAATTCAAACCCTTGCAGCTCTTCGAACTGGACTCTGCAGGAGCTCCACATAAACCATCCCTTGCAAGGGCTGGCAATTATGGGAGGAAGGGTGCTGCTGGCCGGCGCCGCGGGGATGGGGGGAGCTGGCGCTACGGGAGCCGGGTGTACGACACCTGATGGCAGCTCTAAGGGATGCTGCGCGTCCCTTACAGCTGCCATCAGGCGCCCCCCATAGGTTGGCACCCTGGGCAGCTGCCTGGCTAGCCCACCCCTTAGTCCGGCTCTGACTGGAAATGACCTCGAGAAGCCATCTCATCCAGTCTCCTGCACTCACGGAAGGACCAGAAGATAAAGATTCCACAACTTCCCTAGGCAATTTATTCCAGTGCTGAACTACTCTGATAGTTCAGAAGGTTTTCCTAATTTCCAACCTAAACTGCCATTGCTGAAATTTAAAACCTTTGCTTTTTATTCTGATCTCAAAGGTAAAGGAGAATAATTTATCTCCCTACTCCCAGTGGTGACACATGGCAGAACAAGGAGCAATGGTCTCAAGTTATAGTGTGGGGGGAGGGGTCTAGGTTGGATATTATGAAAACCTATTTCACTAGGAGGGTGGTGAAGTTCTGGACTGGGTTACCTAGGGAGGTGATGGAATCTCTATCCCTAGAAGTTTTTAAGTCTCGGCTTCACAAAGCCGTTTAGTTAGGGTTGGGGAAGAGCAGAAGGCTGGACTCAATGATCTCCTGAGGTGTCTTCCAGCCCTAGGAGTCTATGATTCTATAGTCCTTGTAATAAACTTCTACATATTTGAAAACTGCTATCATCCCACCCCTTCCTCAGTCTTCTCTAATTTTTCTAACAAATCTAATTTTTTCAATCTTCCCTTATAGGTCAAACAAAAAACAGGACTATGTAGCACTTTAAAGATTAACAAGATGGTTTATGAGGTGATGAGTTTTTGTGAGCCAGACCCACTTCCTCAGATCAAATTGTGGAAGAAAATTAGCACGACCATATATACCAAAGGATACAATCAAAAAAATGAACACATATGAAAAGGACAAATCAACTTTCAGAACAGAAGGGGGATGGGGGGGGGGAGGTAAATGTCTGAGAGCTAATGATATTAGAGGTGATAATTGGGGAAGCTATCTTTGTAATGGGTAAGGTAATTAGCGTCCTTGTTAAGACCTAGGTGTAAAGTGTCAAATTTAAGCATGAATGACAGTTCAGAGGATTCTCTTTCAAGTCTGGTTGCAGGATGCAGGTAATCAGGTCATTGAGACAATGCCCTTTCTGGTTGAAATGGCAAGAAACTGGTTTTTTTTTGTTTTTGTTTTTTTTGTTTTTTTGTGATCCTGTCTAATATTTTCTGGACCATAAATCATTTGTATTGCTCATCTCTGTACTTTCTCCAATTTGTCCACATTCTTCCTGAAATATGGTGCCCAGAACTGGATACAATACACCCAATTGAGGCCTAATCATCTCTGAGTAGAATGGAAGAATTACTTCTCATGTCTTGTTTACAACGCTCCCACTAATACATTCTAGACTGATGTTTGGGGTTACCCCCTCCCACACTGTTGACTTATCTTTAGCTTGTGATCCACTATGTCCCCCAGATCCCTTTTTGCAATACTTCTTAGGCTATGTCTAGACTGCAAGCCTCTTTCAAAAAAGGCTTTTTCGAAAGTATCTTTTGAAAAAGACTCTTTCGAAAAAGAGCGTCTAGACTGCAAGCAGTACTTTCGAAAAAGCAAGCCGCTTTTTCGAAAGAAAGCAGTGAGTGAGTCTGGATGCTCTCTTTCTAAAAAGCCCTGTTGGCATTCAAGAATGTCTTTTTTTGAAAGAGCACTTTTGAAAAAAGGCGTTCTTCCTCGTGAAATGAGGTTTACTGCCGACGAAAGAAAAGATGCGTTCTATTTAATTTCGAAGGCTACTTTTTTTGAAAAAAACCCTGAGTCTGGACACAGCCCTAGGCAGTCATTTCTCATTTTGTATGTGCACAACTGATTGGGCCTTTGTAAATGGCCATATTGAATTTCATTGTATTTACTTCAGACCATTTTTCCAGGTTGTCCAGATCATTTTGAATTTTAATCCTTTCCTCCAAAGCACTTGCAATCCCTCACAATTTAGTATCACCTGCAAACTTTACAAGCGTATTCTCTATGCCATTTTCTAAATCACTGATGAAAATATTGAACAGAACCAGAACTGATCCTTGTTGGACCCCACTTGATATGCCCTTCCAGCTTGACTGTGAACCATTGATAACTACTATCTGGTCATGATTTTCCAACCAATTATGCATCCACTTTATAGTAGCTCCCTCTCTATCCTCTACAAATAACCATGGCTGTCCCTGTTAAGAGGCAGGCACATCCCCATAGAGAATCTCCACTCTGAAAATTTTACGTGCAAAGAAAGACTACTCAATAAACAAAGCATCCACTGTTGTTCTCAATACTGTGGTTCAGATCTGAACATCAAGTCAGTAGGATAATGTGCTTTGCAAAACAAAAGGAAGGGAAAGAAGAAGAGTCTGAACAAAAAGGTCACAATAAATAATTGTGCATTAAACATTTAATCTGTTGTTTGCAGTTCTCAGATGTGCAGGGTTAGTCTACCTCGAAGTCATTCTTTCTGATGGGTCCCTTGTAATTCCCAATGTAAGTCTCATAAAGAAAAAGGAGCTAACCTCACTGGAAAACTGATGATCATGTTCAAGTTCCAAGAACTTTTGTTTGGATCTTGAAGGAGTCTTTGGTGTGGATCCTGCTGTGGGATATCCAGGAAGTGGCTGTAGTCGGACTGGGCGTTGCATATTTCCTGGTGCAGTGTTTGGCCGAGGAGAGGAAGACTGGACAATTGAAATAAGAGAAGAGCCATTTAAAAGGTGCCTTCATGCACATTTCAGAACCGAGGAGTAATCCAATAAAGCAATCGTTCTCAACCTTTCCAGACTACTGTACCTCTTTTAGGAGGATGATTTCAGTCAGCTCCAGATAGTGGGGACTGGGCTTTGGCTTTAGCATGTATCTTACTTTTGTAGAGCCCCTGTGCCAGTCCTGCACTCGTGTTTACATCATTTTAGTTTAGGCAAGTGTGTACACACACAATACTATACACAGAAACAATCTATCGAAATACGTACAAAACAAGCTGAACTTAAAACAGAAATCACTGCAGATAACTATAAATCTTAGGGCTAGACTACATGAGCAGCATGACAGTGGCATAGCTGCATTGATGCACTTGTGCAGCTGTAAGCACTCTATGCCGATGGGAGAGAGCTTTCCCATTGGGACAAAGAAACCATCTCCATGGGAGGCAGTAGCTATGTTGGTGGGTAAAGCTCTCCCACCAATATAGCACCGTCCACACTGGCACCTAAGTCAGGGTAACATATGTCGCCCATGAGGATGGTTTATTCACACCTTCAGTGACATAGTATGAGGTGTTGAAAAGCCTGTATTCAAATTTGTAGAATCTGTTTGGCCCACACAAGTTTGGGTTTTAGTTTATGTGGCCCTCCTGTGTAATATGGTTGGGCACCACCACAATAGAAGATATTACCTCAACCACCTTGCCTCTCTATTCACTTCTGAAAAGCACAATCTAGCAGCTCCCCAAGAGCAATCTACCAGCTTGCAGGAGCCTGCCAGGGGCTGGAGAAGGCAGGTGCCTTCCTGGTCCAGGGTGGAGATCATGGACCTTATTCAGGTTTGGGGGGGATGACCCCAACATCCATGATCTTTGCCATTGATGGAGGAATGCGGCCGTCTATGGCAGGATAGCTGGCAGCCTAGTCACCAAAGGCCACATGCGAATCCAGGAGCAGGTTTGCATGAAAATCAAGTTGGTCCAGCAAGACCCCCAATCCTGGGTCCTGACCTTCCCCTTCTTCCCCTGGATTCCCCCTTCCAGATCCCTCATCCCAGGTTTCCCACCTCTCCCACTCTCTCTCTTCCCCTCTCCCACCTCCTTTTCCCAGTTTCCCCAGAGGTTCATCTCCCCCAGTTTTGTTCAATAAACCCAGTTACTATTTTTGAACATACATGTCTTTTATTTGACATCAGGAAGGGGGGCTAGGGAGGGGTAAGTGGAAGGATGTGAGGGAGGAATGGGGCACGAGCCCCGGTGGGGAGGACCAAGGTGGCTCTGAGGGCTCCTCGGGGTGGATGCTCTCCCACAGGGCCTCCTGGATCCTGACAGTCCCCCGATGGACCCCCGGATGGCAGCCTGCAACAAGTGCAGCCGGGTTGATGGCAACGACCCCACCAGACGCACCAGCATGCCCAGGGGCAGCTCTGGTTCCATGTGGCCTAATGCTGTGGTGTCCCGATTGTGGGCACTTAGGGCACTCCAAGAGAGGACTGCTGTGCTGTCACTCATCAAAGTAGACAAGCAAGCGGGAAACCCTGAGAACTGTCTGTCCAGGGTGGGGGTAGGGTCCCTTTAAGCACAGGACTCAGACTCAGGCAGCAGCCCCACACACTAAGTCCTAACCTGATGCCCTGCAAGCACTGGTTCCGGCCATCCTTAACTTCGGTTCAGGGTCCACTCAGTGTGGACGTGCTATTTCAAAATAGATTTTGTGTGTAGATGCATTAATTCAAATTAGCTTAATTCAAATTAACTATTTCGAATTATGTTAACGTGAATTGATGCTATAGTGTAGACGTACCCTGACACTTATTGTAGTGTATTAGATCTCAGCTTGGGTGGTGGTACAGATAAAAGAGAGAATTAAGGTCGTGAAATAGGGTTATCATGAAAGCCACCATTCTCTAAATACGGGTCTAACCCACACACTTAATGGGTGTGGTTCACTGTCGCATGTAGTGGCACTTAGACCACTTACAGAGAGAAAGAGAGAGCTAATGAGTGAGCTCTATAGCCTTAGCTGAGAACCAGCTGGCTTTATAGCTCAAGCTGCAGAGGCTCATATGCTAAGCTTCAAAGAGCCCAGGTTTGGTTCCACCTGAAAGTTGTTATATTGGCATGCTACTCGTGCCACATAGCATGTAGCTTTTTCTCTAAGGGCCTGATTCTACTCCCTTTGGAACAATGAAGTCAATCAATACTACAAAGTAGAGATGTAATAGATGTAAATATAATGGTGCAAGATTAAGGTATGTGATAAGACTCACTGCTTGTGAAGGACCAGATTGCTCTCCATCCGCTAAAACATGGTGTCCATAGCGACTTCTTGGACCAGCTGGTGGACGTGGAGAGAGCAGAGGATTAATATCCTCCACTGATCTTCTTGATCGTTCCACCTAGAGGAAGAGAAAGTTATGCAATTGGGCTCTTTGTCTGAGAGAGGCTATAGATAGACTCTGTCAAGGAACACTTTGCTTGCATTCTGAAACTGCTTGCACTAGGTGTCTGCAAATAACTAACAGTTTTGGCAGGTACTTGAATCAGTGCTTAGGTCATTATTCTTGGTATAGAAAAAGAGATCCAGGTCTAACAGCATAGCAGGAGGGAAGAGGAGATGGATAAAATGGGAGAAGAGAGAGAATTTGAATTTCTGAGTCTTTGGTTCCTGATTCTGTTACCTCTCTTCTCTCTTTCTGTCTCTGCCCGTCCCTTCTAGTCTTATCCAAACATGTGATAATCCCGTTAGTTCCACTCCTCCTCTCCTTGCTTCTGTGTATGTTTTGAATATCCGCCCTCTCCCTATCGCATTCTCTTTATACCTTGTTTTGTTTGAAGGCCTGTTTCTTTTCTGAAGTTAGAGGATCTTCTGCAATCCCCAACTTACTTCCTTTGCCATCTCTTCTCTCTAAAAATCTCTATATTGTGGTGATTCTCCCTCTGGCAGTGAAGGACCAGATGTGCCTTTATCTCCTACCCTTTTTACTGTGTAATCCCAGATCATCTACTGGCCAGATTAGTAGAAGATGGTGAAGAAAGATGTAAATTATAATTCCCTGCATCTACCTCCCTCTTGAGTCTCAAAAGGGATTAACCCCAAGAGACAGAAGACAACGAGCACCCAGCGTAGGATTCCTACTGACAGAAGCCATTTTAGTTTATGGTCAAGAGTCCAAAATGACCCATCACTGCAGCAGGCATTCTTCCATAAATGGTCCCCTTGGGCAGACTTCTCATCTTTTAGACTGGGCTCAGACTAAATATCACAGCACTGGCATTTTCATTTATTTTTCCTTCTCCCTGTTGCAGCTGAGATGCAGAGACAAGTGCATCAAACTCCTGATAGTTTGCAATTGTTTCTGCATGTAATCAAAGGACCAGACACCTTCTTAACATAACCAGTGTGGTCAACCCTCAAGATTTTGTTGCTATGAATCTCATGATAATTGCTATCTTCCTTAAAGCCTCAGCTCCTGCAGTCAAGTGGATGTGATGATTTCAGCCTTCATTCTTAACTAAAAAGTCAGTTTTCTAGCCCGCATGGCTGTGGAGAAAGCTTCAAAATGTGACCCCAGTGCACCCAAAAGGCTCAAAAAGTAGAAGGCAAATAAAAAGAACACTAAATCTATTATTTTTACACAATCTCATGATCTAAAGCTATAATCTCATAATCTCTTTTTACACAATCTCGTGATTTTTGAACATGTGGGGATAGTCATACTCTCCACTGTGTGTGCATCCCTACCGTTAAGGATAGGAGACCAATTGAGAAAATGGGATCCTCAGTATGAGTTTTTAAGCACTCCTCACAGGAGTTGAAGAATTTCAGTTCAGCTGGAGAGTTATTCCTGCCATATGCGTTCTACTTGCTTCATGGCTAAAGCAGCCACTCACTTCCATGGGACTTCCACAAGTCCCAGGGCTATACAATCAATGCCCAAATACAGGGGTTCCAGAATAGCGACTCTCGAAAGAACTCTACCCTAGTGTGGTGCTGACTCGGAGAAAAACCATGCAGAAGCAAGTAATACAGGACAACTGCCCTGTTTGCTCAGGCAACACATCCTTACCTTGAGTCTCTGAACGCGCTCCCTCCTCACAACATTTTCCAGTTGTCTTTTTATTTCCAGCTGATGATGACGCTGTCAGTGCAAAAGAGAAAGCAATCCTATTAATTACCATAAGGAGCAGCCAGTGAATACAACAAGGCTGTGCAGTGCTCCAGCTTTGGGTACCTCTCATGTGCTCGGCTGGTTATTGCACCTGTGGCTCACTGCCCCGTAACTATAATTGACTTGCCTTGCACTTCAGCATGGGAAATAGTTACCTGCTCAACATTAAAGCTATAGTGACCCTGTTGGCTTTTACTTCTGCAGATGTTATTCTCACTACCAGCACAGAATACTGAGAGCAGAATTGTGCTAATAGCTTTGTATGAGCAGAGGAAACACTGGGAAGTTTTTCTGCTTTGGATTAGAAAAGTGGCATGAGATCAGCTGAGTGACATCACAGCTGCAAAAAATATGTTTAATTATTTACATTGAGCTGAACTACTCTCGTGCAGGAGTTGGTATGTGTCTGCAGAAATGACTCTGTTGTCTGCCCTGCCTGGGGACCTAACACTTCGCTGCCCTGTCACAGGAACACACAGAGTCCCAGTTCACTCCATGGCTCCTCTTACTCGAGGGGGAAGTAATTGCCACTGTACTATAGTTGTAACAGATTCCTTCCTTCCTCCCACCCTGGGGGGGGGAGGGAGGGTAGTGGGGAGCAAAGCATTGGCAGTGCCCATTCTTCTCTTGTTGCACAGCATCATCTTGTAGAGCCTGCACCTACCTAGCAGGAAGCAGGCTGCAGAGATGCAGGGGGCTGCTGAGTAACAATACAGAGTCTGGTTTCATCCATCATGTCGCTTAGGAACCAGTTAAACAACTGCTGTGCAAGGAAAGCAGAAATCCTCAGCTGTGTGGAGAAAGCTGATGATGATCCCCCCCTGTTCCCCCCATGCATGGGAGGGGAGGGCGTGAGTGTACTCCAAGGGCATGTCTACACAAGGAAATTATTTCAGAATAACTACATTTAAAATAATAACTCCCGAAATACCTATATCAAAATAAGTTTATTCCCCAAGGAAAGCAGGAGTACAGATTTTGAAATACCAGCCCATTTCAAACTAATGGGACTGGTAGTATGGATGCTCCACTTATTATTTTGAAATAACTCCTTAGTATAGACCAGGGCCAAGAGAAGAGGAAGGAGGGGAAGGAGCCACAGTGTAGGAGCAGTTGGCAAGAGAAAATCTTGCCCCTAATTGATATTTATTTAAAAGTAAGCAACTGTGTGCTACGGGGCTCCATAGTGACCACGAGATTGTGCCTAGAAATGCGCTAAACCCCCTCACTTCAAGGCCAAGAGAGAGTGGAGTCCCTCAGGAGGCGCTCCACAGCTCACCAGTTCAGGCTATAAAATCAAGGCAATCACTCAGTGAGCAGCTAGGGCCTGATTCCTCACTGCCCTTCATTTTGTGCAGGCATTTACACCTTTGCTGCCAAATCAGAAGTCTTCACACCCTCACCCCATACAGATTTTTACCCCACACTGCACTGGTGTAAACAGCCACACCAGTTATAAGACAATGGAGTAGCAACAGTTCCTCAACTGCGGCATCCTCTCCTCTATATAAAAGTGAAAGCAGACTACTGCACCCAGTACTCCAGTACCAACTCGACATCAGAACTAGCTGCCAGCCAGCTGCCAGCAGAGACCTGGAGAGTCTGCAGATAGTTTGCTCTGCAGATCTGCTAGGGATCTATGCCAGTTGATCTCTGCCCTACTAAGCACAACTACACTCTGTTCCATTTTGCTAGACTGCCTTTTCCACCCATATGAATAAGGGGTCCATGCAGTGGGAGAACTGTGTCTGGATTCTCACAGCCATGCTCTCCTAGGGAGGGGAGGATTAGAACTTCTGCCTAGAATGTATTTTATAAAATGAAGTGGACCTATGTGTGTAATCTGTTGTGGTAGCATCTATGAGCCCTATCCCTGGACCAGAATAGGGATGTAAGCAACTGTAGGGTAAACTGAGGCAGTCCATGGTATCTTGCTGAGAACTGACAACTCAAATCATTAGGCCAGGCCTGGGAAGCACACAGACAGCAGTTAACTTGACCCTGGTTGTCCTGGCAACACATTCCAAAAGGGCCTCACTTTGATAAGGCCGGTACCAAACAACCAAGCATCCACGCGGGATTGTTTTTCATTGTCTGCTTTGTTCCGAGAAAATAAGCTTGGATCCCCAAGATCGCGCCAAGGCAATACCACCCCCGCAGGAGACGTATTATATTTCCGGCCGACAAAATGACCATCAACATGCCTTTGTTTATGTTGGCTTATGTAGCTTGTTAGGAATAACTACCTGTGTTAGTGATAACATGTTTAATTGGCAATGGGCGGAGATACTGTGTAACTTTTGTAGTCATTGGCTTACGTGCATATCTCGCTTCCGCTGCTAGACCTATCAAATCATTCTCCTCCTTCCTTCTACTACCTATATAATCTAATGTATGTTTTGGTTAAATTAGTGCTCACCAGGTTAACCCCTGATGAGTACTCCACCAGCTGTGTGAACCAATAAATCCTCTACTTGTTTTCACCTGCACCCAGCGTGTCCGGAATCATTCCCTACAGCGACTAATTGACTAGTTGACTATCTGCTAAGCAAGAGCTTATCAGATAGTCAACACACTAGTCGACTCGTCACTCCCCGCACACTTGCTGCCTTTATTAGAAAGAGGCAGCAAGGGGGGGGAGGGAAGAGGAGGGAGTGAACCAGCTTAAAAGCCAGTTCCCCCCAGCTCCAGCTCTGTGGGAGGGAATAGGGGCTCAGCGGCAGTGTTCCAACTCTTGTTCATTTCAAAGATTGAAACGCTGCGTGGAGCCCAGGGCTAGGGGCTCTTGTGCATTTCGAGGACTGAAATGCCACGTGGAGCCCGCGGTCTGCGAGGAACTCCCTGCTGGCCCCGGGCTCCACATGGCATTTCAATCTTTTAAATGCACAACAGCCCCTGCTGGGGCTTTTGTACATTTCAAAAGTGGAACGCTGCACTAGTCCTTATTGACTAATCAAATAGTCAATGGAAATCCCATTGACTATTCAATTAGTTAACTAATCGAAATTTAACATCCCTAGGCCAGAACCCCACTGTGATAGGTGCTATGCAAAGAGAACATAATGACAGTTCATGCCCTAAAAACTGTGCAGGGAGGTATTAATGGCAGTTTTAGAGTCTCTTGATTCCATCTGGATAGAAATTTCACAGACAAGTTTTCTTCCCCGGTGTGGTGCTTGAGCCAAGAAGATTCATGGTCTCTGAGACAGGACTGAAGCAGGATCTGCAACACTTGAGACTACAAGCTGCTTGGGGTGAGCTTGAACAACAAATAGCATTATTTGAATATTCAGATGTAAGAACTGTATAATCAGAAAGCCATCCACTGATTATTTGGTTGGGAAGCCAAGCTGGCCAACATAAACAAGAGTGAAGAGGGCAGCTATTTAAATACCAGGCTCTGCAACCCTTTAGAATTTGCAGCTGAAGTCTGGGCAGATCAGTTTAAAGCTCAAAGTCTGTAAGGGGATAGTGAGCTTGAGCTAAATGCAATATGATTATGAAGATAATTGTGTTTAAACAGATGTTAGTCATCCTATTTTTTTTCTTTTTAGGGAAAACTACAGATGGTGAAGGCTGAAGAGTTTCAAAGGGCTGTGCTGTACAGACCCATAGCTTAGAAAAACACAGAAGAATGTAGATCAGTATTCAAATTCTCCATTCAAGCAAAAGCAGGTAAGTAACAACACATTGAAGTAACTAGATCTTTTGGCACACAAGAGGGGTTGTGATTTATCTGACCCTCATGACCTTGGTAGTCTGAGTGCTGAGATGGCTTCCTCTCCTCTTCACGTGGCTGGAAACAGCATCTTCCACCACCACATGCAGATGAGAGGGAGGGGATGAGTGTTGAGACAGGGGGTGTTTCAGAAACATTCTTCTTGTTGGAGCCATCAGGAGTGAAGATGTCATGCCTACCTCTCCATCAAAAACTCTTCTTCTCAGGGTCAGCCCCATGACATACTAGCACTAGTAAACAGCCTTTAGACATGACTAGGGAACTACTCTAAAGGGCTGATACATAGATAATGCAGTCATACCTCCATGTCAAGGACCTTGTGAAATATAGCCTGAGCTAGGCATTCCCGTACATATCTTTGGTGATCCTTCCTCACAGCATTTAGCCGATACTCCTTCTCAGATATTATTCTTCCACTTCTTGAGATCTGCCATAAGCAAATAAAATATAATAAATATAATAACATTTCTAAACGAACCCATGAACAAAAGGAGAGCAAAACTACTTGAAGGCATACACCTTATCTCCACCTTTACTATGTCCCCCACACCATTAGAGACCATAGAGAGACAAAGTGGGTGAGGTAACATCTTTTACTAGAGGGACAAGTTTTTAAAATTGACCATCCTGTTTCTCCACTGAAAAGCAAAAGCACTCAGCTGCTGGAGGTAGGAGTAACAAAAAGGAAGCCTTTGAACCTACCAGCCCCGATCGCTGAAGATGCCGTCTTATCCTTGTATTGCTGAAGTATCCAGCCAAGTGTTTGTCTGTAAGACTGTTGTAGGTTACGAGTGACCTGAAACCAATAACTGAAGTCACCATGGAGACATTATGAAAACCCAGAATTTAGATATTAGAATTGATGTAGTTTTAAAAAATCCACCTGAAATTCAGATGCACAAAGTGCTGTCTTGAAGAATCAATTCAGACATTTTCTCAGATAATCTTTAAATGTGCTATGAAGATTGCATCTCCCTGTTTTATGAGAGATTTACATCTTCTCCAGAAATTACTCACCCCGTGATACAAAGACCCTTTGTTTGCTCAACATGAGATTAAATATCAACTAGTAAAGACTGTTTTCTCAATGGTCCCCAGGCCTGAAGTTTTTCCACAGGCAATATTCCTGTGAGAAGTTTGCCAGAGTAAGAAACTGTTGGATTCATGATAGTTTAATATCATGCTCATAGCACCAATGAACATTCAGACATAATTAATTTGGAGCCAGATTTGACTGCTAGGAGTTTGAATACATGAGGACAAGTTGGTGGATACCAAGTAACCAGTTGTAGCTCTAATCCCACCATGTCAGGTCCTGGTGCAAGCTAGAGTTACAGAAGAACAGTTCTAATTTGCACCAGAGGAAGTTCAAGCATACAAGAAATCTGCTTTCTTACATCCTTTCCCCTGCCTCCAGCAGCCCTCCAACATGCACCCTTCATCCTTTTACACTTGGGCTGGAAGGGGATTCTGCATAATGCAGCTATGCTGTCTCTGCCAGTTTTATGTAGTCAGGGGTCACCTACACAGGGTGAAAATTCCACTGGCCTTCTCCAGCTCCTCTTTGTGCTTGTTACATAACCCAAAATACAGTTAGCAGACCAGAGAATCTGCCTCTTTCAATACATATAATTGAAGCAGCAACTTCTAGCCCCCCTAAATATAAAGAACACGAGTCTTTCTTTTTCCTCCCACAGCATCAGGAGCATCAGGCATCTGCCAGTTTCCACTATGTATTTCAGTTTGTGCTGGTATGTTCAGGCTTCTAAGTATCTTTCTGTATTGTTCTGCATAACGTTTCTGTAGGTCACCTTCCTTTTCCTCTTTGCAGACGGTGTCCATCTTTATCACTATCTATGAGAGTCATGTTGGTGGCATCCTTAAATACTGTTTCTTTAATAAACCTTGCGATGTTTTGAAAATGAAAATGTAAGTTGGCAGTCCAGCATGCAAATGTCTTTTCTAAAAATGGTTGATTAGCTTATGTCTCTACCTTAGCGTTATTCTTGCATGTTTCTTCTGCTGTTATGATTCCATCTGTCTTTCTAGTGTATATCTATTTCCCTTCACTATTGTAATGTCTATAGATGAACTCCATTCCTTGAGGCATTTAGTTTAGAAAACTAAGTCACAGTTGTGTGTGTCCAAAAGGACAGCTTTTCTCTATTTTAAGCCACTCTCTCCGCAAGGATTCAGCTAAGTGGCTGTTTCCCAGGAGGAAATGTTGCCAGGCCAGCAGGCTACTGAGCTAATGAGGAAAGGTTTAGTTAAAGAAATGTGTCCTGCACTGGGCCCTATAGTAGCAGAACTGAAGCTTTGTATGTGATGACTAACTCATAGCAATAGGATTAGCATCTGTCTCACCTATTTTAGGAGCTGTTTAAAAAAAATCAAAGGTATATCAATGCAACTAGAATATATTATTTAAACAAGACACACAAGACGCATGTCCTATATAAATATGCCTGAATTCATCTGCACAGAATTTGCACTGCATCATATTCACAACATTTCATGACATTACAAGATCATGACAGTACTATGTTTTAGTCTGCACTTGTCATATAGCAGCTGTTTGCCCTGTTTAAAGTGCAGCTGGTAATTGTGAGATTGCTCTTTCTGGTTTTCCCCACTATAGCTACAGCCTGTCACAGAAAATCATCAGATCCACTCTGCAAGGTTGAGGCTCTAAAGCTAAATAAGAAAGTCAATATACTCCACAAGCCACTTAAGAACTGGTATAAAACTGCCAACACACACAGGCATCTCTTACGAGTGTTTTGTCTGAACGACTCAGAATCCAGAGCTGATGCAATATGGACATCGTGAGAACTGCAGACACACATTGTAAACCCAGAACTAGATACTATGAAAGGGAATACAAGGCCTTTCTACTGTCCCATAATATGAAGTTTTATTGCCATATTTGGAAAATTAGTTTTGTATCCTCCTTGGTGTATGAATATACAGAGTGCACGGGCTCACAGAATCCTGGAATCCTAGGGCTGGAAGAGACCTCAGGAGGTCATCGAGTCCAGCCCCCTGCCCAAAGCAGGACCAACATCAACTCATATCGAAGGCCAACACTCATACAGAAGAAGATAGGGCAAAAGGTTTTCACTAGCCTTTCAAGAATGTAAATGCCACTAGCCTAGAAAGCTTAAGGTACTGAATAACTCACCCTGATGTGCAATATGAACCTTCTCAGGAAAAAGCAGTTAGATATCCTGTATCTGTTATGCTGCTCTGTAGCGTTCAGATTTTTAAGGAGACCAGTTACTTAAACTGTAAGTGCTTCAGGCAGAGACTATTTTTGCATCTGGTAGAGCACCTTGAACAATGGGGCCCTAGTCTAGTGCTGCTGCAATATAAACAATGACTACATAAGAACACAGGAGCTGCCATATTGGGTCAGACACGTTGTCCAAGCCCAGTATCTTGTCTTCAGACAGTGGCCCAGGGTGGGCAATAATTTTCTCAGGGTAGGGAACTTAATGAATTTTGGTGCATGGTCACAGGCTGGCTCCACCTCCCAGAAGGGGCAGGGCCTGGAGTGGAAGGCACTGGGGAGCACTTTCCCTCAACAGTTGTCTGGGGCTGGAGGCTTTGAAGTAAAAACATAACAAAGGATTCTTGGCTCGTGGTCAGGGGGAAAGAGGGAGGAAGGGGAGCAGTTGCCCCCGGGCCACCACGCTAGGATGAGCGCAGGGAGAACGGCGCAGGTGGGTCTGACATGGCCGCAGCTGCTGCGGCAGGGCCAAGCGGTCCCAGACCTGCCTGCACCTTTGTCACTGCACTCACCCTAGCACGGCGCCTGGGAGCAACTGCCTCCTCCCTGTTCTCCCCATCGCTCTGCCCCTGCTCCTGGTTCCCGGCCCTGCCACTACCGTGTTGCCTGGTAGCCGCCTGGGTTTGCTGCAGCTATTTAAAAGGTTCGCAGCTCTGGCCCCTGCTGGGGTAACACTGCAACTGGGAGCCATGTGCACAGGCGGCAGGATATAAAGAGCAGCCAAATGCAATCCGCGGGCCAGATCAACGTTTTAGGCGGACAGGATCCAGCCCCCAGGCAGCACCTTGCCCAGCCTTGCAGTGGCCAAAGCCAATGTTCAGAGGGAATGAGCAGAACAGGAAAGCATCAAGTGATCCATCCCCTCTTGCCCATTCCCAGTTTCTGGCAATTAGAAGCTAGTGACACCCAAAACATTAGGCTGCATCCCTGCCCATCTTAGCTAATAGCCACTGATGGACCTATCCTCCATAAATATATGTACGTAATTCATTTATGAATCCTGCTCTAATTTCAGCCTTTACAACATCACCTGGCAATGAGTTTCACAGGTTGACTTTCTGTTCTTTGAAGAAGTATTTCCTTTTGTTTGTTTTAACAAGTAATATCTATAATAGCTGTTTACAGAAGCTAGTACTGGGACATTTAAAGGAAGCTGGATAGTCAGAACCCATTTAATTTAAATGGGAATTGGGCTCCTATCTCGCCTAGATACCACTGAAAATCTCATATAGTTCAGGTAAGAGAACAGTAAGAGTGTACAAGATTAACCTCTACACATATTTTAGTGTGTAAGCACTAAGGATTGGAGAATTGCTTAGTGTGCAACCAAGCTTAGTGGCAATAACAATAGCAAGAACTCAGCATTTATGATAGTTCTAATATACTCAACTAACATTAATTATTACAGCAACCCTAGGAAGAATGTATATGAGAATCGTTTTATAGATGGGGAAAGTGAAGCAAAGAGATTTGTATAAAGCTACACAATCAGTAGCAGAGCCATTATTATAATTCAGGACCTCCTGACTCCCAGCCTGCATTTACTCATTGATTCTGTATGGAATTAAAATATGATGGCAGGAATATGCAGGCTCAGGAAAGTTATTTTCCTTCCAGACTGTGGAGCAGTAAATACAGTCCAAGCCAAGGTGGGAAAAGATAGAAAATCCATTGCTTAGGACATTTGAAACTAAAATAGCCCAAGAAAAAGCTTAAAAATACATCACAGGGAACAGATATAGAAATGTAGCCGTGTTAGTCTGGTGTAGCTGAAACAAAATACAGGACTATGTAGCACTTTAAAGACTAACAATCATCTAATAAACCATCTTGTTAGTCTTTAAAGTGCTACATAGTCCTGTATTTTATCACAGGGAACAAGACTCCTCTAGGGGAGTGCTCAAGCCTCAGGTGCCTTGAGCTACACTTGATACATATGAGGGGGAAGATGCAAAGAGAGCTTTATTCTTTCTCATGGACTGGAGCTGGTTCAGCCCCAGCGCAATGTGAGCAGCTTCATCACTATTATAAACTTCACTTGCATCGAACATCTCCTTACAGGCTCTTGTAATGGCTGATGATTGATGGAATGCAAAGTGCTTGGGCTACCCCCAACTTTTGCCCCATCTTATCCCCTATATTGGTGGTTCAAGGGCAGTGTGTCATAGAGCCCCATTTAGGGCAACTCCAAGTCCACTTCATGTCACTAGAGCAGCACACAGAGGTCCAAGAACTGGTTCAAGATAATTTAACCCAGTGGCTTTCTTTCATTTCTATTTACATATTCAACAGCCTTGAAAAATGAACTTAGGGTTGCCAGATGGTTTAACCAAAAATACCAAACACCCACACACTGGGGGAGAGGAGGGGAGGAACCACCAGGGAAAAAAATCTGTTGAGAAAAAAAAAGGACCCAAGAGTTGTTAAGCAAAAAAAAATTTTAAAATTTTAAAAACAGCATGGCCCCTTTAAGAAACGCTTTTGAGGCCATCCACCATCTTGTCTCC